ACTGGATAGTGGAAAAGTCCAGACCAGGCTTGTTAGAGAACCACTCTCTGAGGAGCCAGTGCAGTTTGTTGGAAATCCTTCTGAAGAGGATTTTACTGACTGTTGCTAAAAACCCACTCTCTAGGTCTGTGCCAGTGGAATGAACTGAGAAGCTGCATTTTGCAAGGCTAGTGGAACTCACTAGCAAATTAACTGCATAGGTGCCCTTGAAACTCAAAATAGTGCAGTTCACAGAGATGCTACTGAATCTTAGAAAACATAAAATCAACAAAATCTGTGAAAGAAGTGAATATTCATTAAAAGGAACTCAGCTTGGGCGCTCTGGTGGCCTAGTGGCAAGAAGCTGTGCTGCAATCCCGAAGGCATGATGTTCGAATCCACCAGATGTTCCACTGGAAAGAGAGGGACAATTTTCTCTTGTGCTAGTTGGATCCAACTCGATGGTACACAACAATGGGGGAGTGGGGGGAGAAAAAGAAAAAAATCAACTAGAGAAGTATATGGAACAAAAAAATCATCAGCAAAGCACACTTCCTACCCACACGCACAACAAAATGACAACAGTAAATTTATACCTGCTGATAATCACATTATGTTGCTGTTGTTATGTGTCATCAAATCAAGATGGAACCAATTCCCAGCTGACCCTCTAGCGGGTCTTCAGAGGCTATAAATTGCATCAGAGGAGAATGTCTACCTTTCTTCCATTGAGCAGCTGGTAGATTCAAACTTTGGACTGGCAAGGCAATTCTTTACCCATAGAACTCCCTTATACTAGTCTTAACTGGATAAAATATATTAGTCAAGAAGCAGAGAATAGCAAAATAGACAAGAAAAAGTAACTCATCTCTGTGTTCTGCCATGTATTGAATTCTGTTCCCCCCAAAGTGCATGTAATATGATGTAGAGGCTATGTAATGATCCTCCAAAAAGGTTTATATATCTTTTGTTAGCAGGGAATGGGGTTTAAATAGCTGATGGTATATTCCTTCTAATGGATATGGTGACTTTGGCCATCTCATTTATCTCTTCCTTGAGTCTATTGTTTTGCCACATTCCTTGAGAGTCTGTTTTTGTTGTCATATAGCATATATCTTGAAGGTGGTTTCTATTGTTATATTGCCACAGAATTTGTCAAAACCCATTCTATTAATCTCCTTTGTCAGCGTGTCCTTTGCCATTTCTTGTCAGAAACTGTTGCCTTCCCAGGGTGAAGAACATCAATAACCACTTGCTTTCTCTGCAGAAGTCGGTAAGTCATGAACCTCCTGGACCAGAGAGTCACTGTGCCATTCATGATGGTGCTTTCACTCATGCAGCCCTAGAGGAAAGTGAGTGAGTCTCTTTTTTTAACCTGACTTCATGCAAATGAATCACTGGAACACCAGAGAAAACCAAAACACATGGAGATTTAAAAAAAAACAACAACCAAAAAACAAACAACAACCTAAAACCAACAAATGCTGGAGGAAACAAGGACTTTCCTTCATAACTAACAGAGAGGGCCTTCTCAACGAGTTGGCACCCTGATCTTGGACTTAAATCCTCCTGAACTGTGAGAGAATAAATTTGTTGTTCAAGTATAAAAAGAGTACTTCCATCATGAGGGGAGGGTGGTGGTGTCTAACCTCCACTAACTCCACAAGATGGGAGAGTCCCCATCTACAATGCTGACAGCACAAACCCAGTTCCTACAAACTTAGACATGTCTCTAGGCTTCTGCACCTTGTCCTATCAATTCTAAGATCAACCGTGCCTCCCAGACTTCTTGCTGCTCTGCTCTTTGGTCAGCCAATCTGTTGCCATGGTCGTTCAGAACTCACAAACCATACTCACAATGAAGAGATTTATTAGGGAATTTACCAGGTTACAACTCAGGTTGGAAACAATACAGTTCTTCAGTCAGGGTAGATTCTCATGTGTGCAAACAGCTGCACAGCTTGAGGTCAACACTGCAAATCTCTTAGTTCTGCCAATTATAGTATCTCCCCCACAGTCCACCAGTAAGCTTGAGTGAAAGCCCTTGGTACTGGCTCTGTGGGCTGCAGTTTCCATTCAGTGTCTCACATTGGCCTTTGGTGGTCTGCTACCTCTGCTGCTACTGCTGGTGCAGTGTCTTAATCTTGGTTCATCTCTCTCATAGGAACCACTGATCTACTTCTTTCTTGCTAGTAGCAAAACCTCCCCTTTTCTCTGCTTCTAAGCCAGCCCAATTTAAGCACCGCAGGATGGCGGCACAGACCAATCCCCTCATTAGTAGTCTACACACCTGGTTTGCCTGTTCCTACCCAAAAGGCATTGTTCACTTTATGTCAATAGCATCGTCCCACCCAACTATGTGGCAAAAGTCAATGTCAATGGTTGGAAAGTCATTTTAAGCAATCCTCCTGCCATACCTCAAAAACAATCCACTTGTGTTATTTCTGCTAGAACAGCGTTAAAAAACTAAGAAAGCTTCATATAAGGGACACACTTTAACACAAAAATAATATTAAAAAATCAAAGGATAGAAAACAATGTATTAAGGAGTGGCAATATTACTCTCCAATAATGTAGACTTTAAGGTAAATACCAGCGTAAAGAGGAAAAGAAGGACAATATTTACATAATGATTAAAAGACCAATCCAGCAAGAGGATACAGCTATAATAAATATCTATGCATGCAATAAAATATATAAAACCAACTTAAACAGGATCAAAAAAGAAAGCAGTTTCACAATAACAGTAGGAAACGTTAACATATTGTTCTCAGTGAAACTCAGCAGAGACATAGAATAGCTAAGCAACACAATCATCCAATTTATCTCATAGGTATATTCAGAACACTCCACCCAGCAACAGCACATTTTTTTTCCAGAACACATGAATCCTATTTCTTTTTTTTTAAGATTCTTTTGTTGTTGTTGTTATGGGCCATCGAGTCGCTTGCGACTCATAGCAACCCTATGTACAAGAGCTCTATATACGCTTTTCTATCCTGTGTCAACCTAGCCATCTCAAACGCACTCATTCCCACCGCTCCAGTCACAGAATCTATCGAGGTCTTCCTCTCCTTCGCTGCCCCTCCACTCTGCCAAACATGATGTCCCTCTCCAAGGACCAGTCCCTCCTTGCAACATGCCCAAAATATGTCAGATGAAGCTTCAGAATCCTTGACTCCAGGGAACATTCTGGCTTCACCCTCTCCAGGACAAACCTGTTTGTTCTCCTAGCAGTCCAAGGTATATTCAAACTCTTCTCCAGCACCACAGCTCAAAGCCAAGATTCTTTTAAAATTTTATTTTATTATTTTTTTCCTGTGTACCGTCAAATTGGATCTGATTGGTACAAGAGGAGATTGTCCCTCCTTCTCCAGCAGAGCATCTGGTGGATTTGAACTGTGCTCCTCTGGGATTATAGGGCAGCTTCTCGCCACTAGGCCACCAAAACTCCCTATGAGTCATATTTCATGGAATAAAGAGACCACCAAATATAACTTAAAATGTACAGTCAGCAGAGGATAAACTAGGTGTTTGGGACCTTCTAAAAACCAAATCCTAATATGCATCAAAAGACATTCCAAAAGAGTAAAAAGAGACTGGGGAAAATATTCAGAAATGATATATTTGACAATGGATTAATCTCTAAAATTTATAGAAAACTCCAACACCTCAATAAGAAAAGGGGGGGGAGAGAAGTCTACTTAATAAAGGGCTGCTTGTTTCTTGGGACAAGCTGCTTCTATTTCATCTCTTTTTCTATCTAACAATGTGTCTATGTTGTGGCAGCTACTACTACTGATGTAGGAGACAATAGACAGCATATTATTACTAATTAGGTGCTATATATTTGGTTTCTGCACAAATAGAGCCCTAAATACAACAGAATCAAACCCTGCCCAATTCTGTGTCCTCTTCACAATCTCTGCTGCGGTTAAGCTCATTTTGCAGTCAAGTGTATCAATCCATATCTTTGATAAGCCTTCCTCATTCACAGACTCTATTTTTCCACTGTCTTCTGGGTACTGAGCCCTCTTAATAACATGCCTAAAGTACGTGAAATAAAGTCTTAACATCCTCACTTATGACAAACATTCTAACTGCACTACTTTTAAGGCAGACTTATCTGTTCACTGTCCAATTTTAAAGCTATTGAAAATACTGATTTAGGTCACACACAAACACACTAGTCTTCAAAGACATGTCCTTACTCTTTAGAACTTTAAAAAAGGTCTTCAGCATCAACATATGTTGTTTCCATAACTTCACCTGAAAGACAAAACCTGTCAGTGTTTAAAATAATGAGTTTGAGTAAGGCAGTTTGTTAATGGCCAACAAAGAGACATTTTGTTAACATTCCTGAATAGCAAAATGAATTTATGAGTTTTGCCATCACTTGCTATGGAACAATCACGTACCTTTGAATACCGTTTTGTTTTGCTATATATGTTACTGAAACACACTTTTTGAGTTGTGGACTAGTGAATGTGAAATGGATTTAACCTTCCATTTACACTATTTGTTTCAATGTAAAAGTGTGGAAGTGTCTCAATGGAAGGAAAATTGGCCTGCAGCCTAGTGTAGTTAAAAGCAAATAGAAACAAAACTCAAGAAACAGTGTTTCTCTTCTACTATTTTTCTCTTGTTTTTACTGTGTTTCATTCATATACATTGTTGGTTATTTTCACTGCGTCCCTCCAACCACCAATCTCTTCCACCTCATGATTTACCCCCTCCCAGCCCTCGTGTCCTTTCTTCGTCATTTCTCTCTTGACAGATGCTCCCGCGCTTCCTTCCAGCAGGCAGGGTCCTGCTAACCCCACTCCTGCTGGGCTCGCTCCCTGGGCTGCAGAGCCCGGCTGAGCCTGCGGCGCCGAGTGCAAGTGGAATTTCCAGTCCGGGAAGGGGCGGGGCTCGGACAACTGAAGAAGTTTGGTCCTCGGCGGCTGCTGTCCTGTGGTGGGGCCGGAAGAAGTTTCGGTGTTTGGGGTCGTGAAACTTGCTCCGGGATTTGACTGGCGATGGAGTTCGACTGCGAAGCTTTGCGGCAGCTTCTCAGCAAGGTGAGGCCCGCGGGCTGGGCCGAGTCTCGGGGCGAGGGGCGTCTCCACCCTCAGCCCTGTTAACTTAGCCCTCATTTCTCTGAGCTGCCTCGGGACTTGGGCGCTGGCTAGTGAAGCTGGCTGTAGGGAGCGCGCCCTCGGAGGCTGCAGGTTTGATGCCGTCCCTGCCCTCCAGAGTTCCGGGCTCTGGTTCCGCCCCCCTCGCTCGTGGTTTTGGTTCCCCCACCTCCAACCCTTGCGGTCGTCTCTCGCGGCACCAGATTCCCGGGCCCTAAAACGGCCCCATCACCCGCCATGCCTTTAATCTCGCATTTGTCAATCCTGGAATGACATCCTCTTTTTCTCTTGACTTGCAACATTCTTCTAATGTAAGATCTAACCCAGTTGTCACGCCCTGGAAGACTGAGTTATCTCTTTTCTCCACCAGCTTACAAAAAGATCGTTTATCACATTGTCGAGTAAATTTTATTTACAAACTTTACCTCTTCTGTAAACTCTTTACCGTCAGAAACAAAATGATACTTTTGTATTATCATTCAGCACTGTGTGCCTGATCAAAACAAAAAAACCAACCAAAAAAAAGGAAAGAAAAAATACCTCATTTCCGTTGAGTCTGACCTGAATTCTGAAGCTGTAACTCTTAAGGGGAGCAGACTGCCTCATTTACAGCCCCCACCCCGTGGCTGATGAATTTGGACCCCTGACATTTATATTAGCAATCCAGCAGGTTACCAGGTCTCCATCCTGACAACAAATTAGGGGCTAAATAACGTCAGTGAATAAAAAGCCCTGATTAGATTTAAGAATGAAGATAGTTACAGACCTGTGAGAAACCCTTTTATGTTAATATTAAAAGGTTGACTACTGAGGGAACTGGCCCTGCATTTCTGAGGTATGAGTAGCACAGCTAGTCAGAAGACTCTGCATTGCATAATTATAAAAACAAAGGATAGTTTTATGTTCAAATAGTGGAAAATGTTGTACTGTGTAACAGTGAAAGTGAACAATACAGATACATTTTGGAAACATTCTCAATGGAAACTAATTGGAAATTGTATACAAAATTTTGATAAAATTCAAACTAAACGTTTAAGCAGTATGTTCTTTAGGGATATTAATCATGTGATATAAATGTGGAGGGGGAAAAGTAAAGAAATGAATACCCTGTGGAGGCAGAGGAATGAAATGGACTGCTCAGATGGATGTTAGGGTATAAGAAATGACCTAGGTCTGGGCTAAGACCTTGCTACCTACCAGCTATATGTCGCTATCTTAAATACCGATTTAAATGAATTTTAAAAAGGTGCTAAACAGCCACGTCGGGCTGCTGTTAAGTGCCGTGGAGTAGCCTGTGACTCACAGTGACGCTATGTACAGCTCTGAACCCTGCTCTGTCTTGAGCCAATTTCATTGCCTCTGACACACCTACCACCATTACCCCAGTCACTGAGTCAGTCCATCTCTTCCAGAGTCTTCCTCTCTCCTACACTCCCTCCACTCTTCTTAGCATGATATCCTTCTCTAAGGACGGGTCCCTCCTTGCAACATGCCCAAAGTATGTTAAACAGAATGGCTATGGCTACCTGATTGGTACAATTAATAGATCATATCCATCATCTCAGAAAGTTATGTTGAATAGCACTGTTTTAGATCATTGACTTGACCTATTGCTTATTTTATTATTACTTTATTACTTTCAAAATGGAATCATGTGCAGTGATTAAAGGCCCGTGTGTCCTGAATTTGAGCTGAGCTGTGGCTTCCTAACTTGTTGTGTGAGTCAGCAAGTTGCTTTGATTCTTTGACTTACTTTCTTTTTTCTTCTTGTAAAACGAAACAATTATAAGCCTGCAGTGCAGTGGACTACTTTCTATGGCTTTCCTAGCCTTGGTGTTTGTAACTCTCACCACATGGCTGCATAGGCCTATGCAAATGTAAGGGGTTTTGAGCCTACACAGAGGATAGAATAGTTTGCTATATTGTAAATGGTACCTTTTGGGAGAGGCCTTGCGAGTAAGATGTGTAGATAGCTAATGTGGGGATTGGTCAGCTTTGCCATACCACCAGGTTTAAACTGAGCCATCTCAAAGATCGGAAACAAACATTTTGCTACCATCAAGAAAGAAGGGCAGCTTGTCCTTTGGACCTAAGGTCCATGTGCTTTGCTTCTTTGATGACAGCTATAATACTGGAGAGGGGTTTAGACATTGAGACAATGGCAGCATAGGCAATAGAGTCCCAGTAGACTGGCATGATACAGAACTGTGGTTTTCTGGCCCACAGTGTAAGAAATCTGAGAGCCTTTGCAGTAGGAGGCTTACTGGTAGACTGGCAGTTTTACTGACTCATGGAGTTCAGGGGCCTTATGGTTAGGAGCTGTGCTGTTAACCAAAAATCACATGCTTCAAATCCCCTAGCTGCCCCACAGAAGAAAGATGGACAGTTGACTCCCATGTAATTTACAGACTTTGAAACCCATTGGAGGATCAACCATGAGACCATTCTGACTTGATGGCAGATGACACATAACATTAACAACATGGAGCTAGAGTCAGTTAGTTGTATTTGGACCGAGACTTGTTGTTGAGTGGGATGCTACTGGCATTTAAACAGTGACAGAGTTAAAAGAGCTGTGTAACCAGACGTCTGGCTAAAAGAGGCCTTCCTTTGGCCACAGCTGAAAAGTAGCTGTTCTAGTTGAAGAACTTTATCCTGAGAGGTTTTTTTAAACTAAATTATAACCTGCAAAGGCTTAGAGAGTGGAGCATGGCACGTGCCTGACTTCATAGGAATCGGACCATTGATACTGTTGGTTGGGTTGGATTCTTTCCCCTTGTGAAGTTAGTGGAGGTCAGATTCTGATGCCCCCATGTCCATGCTGTTTTCACACTGCCTCGGGATTATTTTTGTAAGGATTTTTTGAAATATGTAGAGCTTATAGCCTAGCACATGTAAGTATTCAGTTAAACATTAACTAATTGTTCTGTGGATCATAATTTTATTTGGATTTCATGATCATTTTTCTCTTTTCAGTACAAATTTAGAGACCTAACTGTGGAAGAACTAAAGAAGGTCAATGTGTTTTACCCACATTTCAGATATTCTGTGGACACCTATGGTAAGAATTGTGTCTGCTAGTTTTTGCTTTGTTATTTAATCTTATCAATTGTTTGATCCTAGAGAGTGGCAGATTCTTGCTTTTAATCTCTCTTGTACTCTGACTTGGAGTTATATTCTGTGACTTAACGTTTCTGAGAAAATGTTAATAAAAAAATACATATATATTAGTTCTACTGCTGCTATAACAAGTTGGCACATACTGAGTATCTTAACTTAAATTTTTTTTTTATTTTAATGTGTGATGGTTTTTATTTACAACTTTCTTGGAAAAAAGAGGGAGACATTGAGAACAGTTTAACACAGAGTATCAGTGCTAATCCTGTCAGATCAAAAAGGTTCCATCTCAAATACCCATGTAATTGTCCAAAGATATACAACACTGAATTTGGTATATGCAATTTCCTCTATGAAGTACAGTGTTCATAATTGCAAAAGAAATAAAATCACTCATTAAAAACTGCATTAAATGAAATCTTTTATATTTAAATTTATGTTGTTCCTGGTAATAAATAATACATGCCCAATGAAGTCAAAAGCTAGAAAAGCAGTTCTACTTCTTGAGTGCACAATTACAACAATCATTTTCTGAAATGACCACCTTTCAATTTATCATGAACTACTTTGAACTTACTATGAGATATAGTCAAAGTTGGAAGAGAAGAAGTAGGAAGAAAATTGCTTTTTTTGGAGAGATTAAGCTCTCCAGAATCAGCATGGTAAATAAACACATCCTGTTGAAGAATTCTAAGTGAAACAAAATTAAGGTAGTAAATTTCAACTCACCGTGAACTGCCTTAATTTGTTCATTAAATTGTTTAGTGTCATTCTTCTAACTCAAGTGTGTTTAATTCTTCTAGCTCATCCAAATATTCCCCCATTAACAGATTTTCATCAACAGGAACTGCATCAGTCTTTCCCCATTTTCATCCAGAAAGCTTCACTTAATTTGTTTTCCTCTTTTTTCTGATGTGTGTGTATGTGTTGCAAACTGGATGCAGAAAGAAAGCAGGGACACGAGGAAGTGAGTTCTGTAAAAGAGGGAGGGCTGAGGCAGAGGTCCTCTCACAGCATGGCACTGTGAAAAGGCCCCTTTCTTAGTCTCCTGTGGTTTTTATTTAGTTTCAGCCAATCATCCTAAAAAAGTTCAATCTCTGGAGACTATATTTTCCTTAAACTTAAGTGTTGCCAACATAACAATGGGTAAGCTTAATCTTTAAACTAAGACCAAAGTTCAGACACAGTATCCCCTCCGGTGGGAGGCTGGGCAGAATTCTCTGTTTGCAGAGGGTATCCAGTATCTCCTCCAGGGGGCTGGGTGGAATTCTTTGTTTGCAGAGGGTGCTCAGTCCTGTCTGGACTCTGATCTCAGCTATGGCCCGGCTGTCACTTTGCTGGGGAATTCACATATATATGCTGAATCTTTCGAGACTGGCAACAGTAAAACCTGTCTCATCTACATCTCTTGGAATGTACAGGCTTACATCTTTGTCATTTACACTCAGAGAATAGCCTCATCACCACCTGCTCCCTGCATGTAACGGGTATCATCCGCTTCCTCATCATCATCATTAACCAGTTCTGGACGAAATTCAGACACCTCACAGCCACCGATCACTAGTGCTTTCCTTGCTTTGAAGTCTACTTTTCCTTCTTTCCATTTCTTGCTCGAGTTTATCAGTCTTTTCTTGTCTTTTACTTTTTTTTCCATGTAAGTAAAGATTCTAGAGTGATTTTGATAACATTGGGACCTAAGGCAGAATGCTCTTTCTCAATGAGATCTTCTAATGAAATGTTATCATCTTTCTATTCTTTCCTTTTATCTTTTTTCAACACAAATCCAGGAGGTAGGACATGCCAATACATGAACATATCACCCCCTCCAGGGCATACTCCAAACCAGCCGTACTTGTTGTTTTCAATAGTTTCAAGGAAATGCTTGCACACTATTTGCGTTTTGGTGTTTTGTTTTTTTCTTTTCCTCCTCTTTCTTGTGCTTCTTGTTCACTACTTCCAGATTTTTTTTTCATCCCAATTATCCATACTCTCTTTTTCAAGTTCTTCATCTCTTGCATCAATGTAAACACTTCATTTTTCACATTTTATCTCCAACATCAAGTCATGAGAAAATTTACACTTATCTCCTTCAGTACACTGTCCTTGTTTGAAGAATGCACATACTACAGATTTGGGATCTGCATCTTTACTTATTTTCTGAGCAGCAACTATAAATTTGAACAGTTCATTTAGCTCCTGTAACTCCTTTCTTGTCATCTTTCTTCAGTATCTTCTCAGCTTCACTCTGTGCTACCTAGCATGGATTTTGCTGACCACATTTAACTTGATGAGTGACAGCTTTGATAAACTTCTGCTGCTTTGCTCCTTTCTTATTCTTTAGATGGAAGTTTTATCTTTGATGATCTTCTCTTTTTTTTCTGTTCTACTTTTTTGCTCTTCCAGCCTGAGCCCATTTCCTGGGGGGCATTATGGAGACAGGTGGCACTGGCCAGACTTGTGTGCAGTGGGACACTATCAGAGGCTCCAGCCGCATGACTGGAGGAGAAACAACAATTTTTTTTATTTTATATCCTAAATATACCAGCTGCTCTGTGGGAGAAGAAAGGGCAGTCTCCTCCCTTATGATTAACCGCCTCTGAAAACCCACCATAGGATCAGCTATGGGTCAGTTCCAACTCATCAGAACAAAACATACGTTAGAAGCCAAACTATGCTAATAAGGTGTTGGTAAACCTCTGTTCTTTTCTGAGTACTCTGTGGGAGCTCTGACGGCCTAGTCAGTAGGAAGTTGTGCTGCCAGCTGAAAACTGACACCTGTTTTTTTGTTCAAATACTCTGGAAGCCCCACTAGAATGGGAAGTCTCCTCCTGCGTGATGTAGAGCTTTGGAAACCCACTGGAAGGTCAGCTATGAGTTTGTTCTGACTTGATGGCCCTGAGTCTGAGTCTGAGTTTTGGGGGGAAATCTCACCTCTTGCGTTTTACTATATATAAAAGTCATTCATGTTCTTTAGCTTGTTCCTTTCCTCTATATTCAAAGCCACCAACATTGTATTTCTTTCAGATCTCCTTCTGACCACATACAGGAAGGACTCTCTCCTTTACAGAACTAATGTGATTGGATTAAGGACTCCTAGTGGCGTAGTACATAATATATCTGGTTTCTAACCATGAAGTTAGTGGTTCAAATCCACCAGGCGCTCTGTGGTGGAAGAGGAACAGGCTCTTCCCATGGACCCAATGGAGGATAACTGCAAATCTGAACCAAAGGCAGTGTGTTTGGTTTGAGTCGTTAGATAAGCGCATTCGGCTGATACAGAAAAATCTCTGTGTCAGTATCCTTGAGTTTATCACATCAAAAAATTGTTTGTAGAATATATAATGATTTTACAGATTTCAAGTAATAGAGTGTAGATTTCTTGAGGGGAGCATCATTCTACTGAACATATGTATGGTTGATTTTAAATTGTTAATAACAATTTTTGTTTATCTTATTGACTTAATATTTTTACTTCACTATCTTTCAAAAGTTTCTGACCAAAACTCATACATGGAAATATAATTTATATCATAATGCCAAGCTGAGTCTAAGATACTGTCTGCATATGTTTTTATACCACTGTTTGCGTGTGTTTGTTTTCCCTGCTTCTGACTGTGTAATATGGTGCTATTTTTTCTTTCCAGTTTTTAAAGATAGTTCCCAGAAAGACCTGCTGAATTTTACTGGCACTATTCCTGTAAGGTATCAGGGTAAGTTTGGAATTTGAAAAATGTTGGGACTTTTTTTAAAAAAGCAAGTAATTTAATGAGACCATATTCATTTCTTTAATGCTGTAGCATTCTTTGGGATGGTAGTGCAGCTTCTTGTCTAATGCTGTAACATTCTTGAAGTATTTTCATATACATCCGGTTATGATGTATACAGAACATTATAGGACTACCTAGTGATAAGGAACTGTGCTGCCAACTTAAAGAGTACATGGTTCAAATCCACCAGAAGTTCCATAAGAAAAAAGATTCTCCTCCCTTCCTATTTATTACCTCTGAAAACATGCTGAAGGGTCAGTTATGGGTCAATTAAAAATCAATTGTACATAACAACAACAGATGAAAACCAGCAAGTTTAATTTTGTTAAAGAAAAACTTAATTGAATGTAAGCTATTGTCTATTACATACTACAAAGATACTGAGTTCCTCTTCTAATATGATACAGCATTATCTCCATTTTATAAGTCAGACTGAATCTCAGCCTGGCAAGTGACTTACCCAAGGCTATTCAGCTAGTTGTACAGGTGGTCATGGTGTAGGGGTAGAATTCACACCTTCAAAGCAAGAGCCCTGCATTCAGTTCCTGACCAGTCTGTCTAATGTGTGTCTGTCACCTGTCTGTCTCTGGATACTTGCTTGTTGTTATGATGCTTAACAGGTTTCAGCAGAGCTTCCAGGCTAAGATGGACTAGGAAGACTGGCCTGGTGATGTACTTCCAGAAGTCAGCCAGTGACAGCACTGTGATCACAAGAGAACAAATCCTAACCCGTCACAGAAATGATGCAGAAAGGGACAGTGTTTCCTTGTGAATGGGATCCTATGAGTCAGGATTGAATGGACAACAACAGACAACAGTGTCACTCCTATTGATAATAATCGGTAATGTTTTGTACCATTCAGTAGGAACTGACCCTAGGTAACTCCTCAGTAAGTTTTCAGAGGCAGTAAACTACACAGAAGGAGATTGCCCATTTTCCCCCCACGGATCAGCTGGTAGATTCGAACCACATGCCTCTGGGTTGGCAGCACAATTCCTTACTATTAAGCCACCAGAGCTCTCCGAAGTAAAGTTAAGGACTGGAATTTCAAATGTCAATAGAGAAGCTTTAAAACTCAGGTGCCACTAAACATCACATTTTAAAATGACTTAACAGATTAAAATAGCTAAATGTTTAAACAAAAAGGAAAAAACTCTCACATTTATTCCCCCTGTACTTAATTCTTCTGTTGTTTTGACCTACTTTCTACTGTCTTCTGTGTTCATTGAGTACTAACCTCTTAGGTAGACATAAAGAGTTGCTTGTACTTAGATCTCCAGAACACTTGTGAAGTTGTGGTTCTGGTATATTTCTCTGAGGTGTGCATACAATTCCATCATTAAAAACTCATTTCTTTTTTTCCCCCTTGTTTATGGTTGTGTACTGTTGAGTTGGATCCGACTGGCACAGGAGGAGATTGCCCCTCCTTCTCCAGTGGAGCATCTGGTAGATTCGAACCACATGCCTTTGGGATGGCAATGCAGCTTCTTGCCACTAGAGCTCCCTCAAGAACTCATTTATCTTTTATACTACAAATAATTCCAGAAGAGATTAGGTCTAAAATCAGTATATATTGTTGATGTTGTTAGGGGTCATCTCGTCATCGTCTACTCAGAGAGACCCTATAAACACTGAAACCATGCCCTGTCCTGCACCAGCCTCAGAATGACTGCTATCTTCTGGTCCATTGTTGCAGCTATTGACTGTACTCTGTTTCACTGACCCTTTCCTTTGCTCGGCATGATGTTCTTTTCCAAGGATTGTCCCCTTCTGACAGCATGCTCCAAGTATGTGGGATGAGGTCTTGCCATCGTAGCCTCTAGGGAGCACACTGGTTGCACTTCCTCCAGGGTGGACTTGTGTGCTCTTCTGGTAGTACATGGGAGGGTCAGCACTCTCGCCATCACTACCCATTTTTCTTCAGTCTTCCTAGTCATTGTACAGTTTTCGGATGCATATTGAAAATATACAATTGGGTGGCCTAGTGGCAAGAAGCTGCACTGCAATCCCAGAGATATGTGAATCAAATCCACCAGATGCTCTGCTGGAGAAGGAGGGGCAATCTCCTCCTGTACCAGTCAGATCTGATTTGATGGTACACACAAAAAATAATAAAATTTTTTTTTTAAAAAAAGAAAATATACAATTGACGCAATTGAAAATACCATGGCCTAGATGAGGTGCACGTTAGTTTTTAAACTGACCTACTTGACAGCAGATTTTCCCAATGGAGTGCATCTTTTGATTTCTTTCTTTTTAAAAAATTTTATTACTTTTATTCTATGTGCCTTTAATCGATTTGACTCTACAGGAGGAAATTGCCTTTCCTTCTCCAGTAGAGCATCTGGTGGATTCGAACTAC